GGGGGGGGGGGGGTTGCCACCCCTTGACTATGCCAATCCATATTGTAAACATCTATACCTGGAGGGTCTGCTTCTAGATAGAGAGGAAAACACCGTACATGGGGGGAGCGATAACGCATATTACTACCACAAACATTTAGTGGCGACCTTCGCGATCTTCTATCGTTGCCTAAATATTGAGAAAAGAGAGGTTGTTTTTACTATGGGCACAGCAACAATACTATAGCTACCATATTCACATCTTATCATATATATATATATATATATATATATATATATATATATATATATATATATATATATATATATATATATATATATATATATATATATATATAAATTTTTCGTGCCAAATTTCGGTACTTAGTCCAAAAAAAAACTTGCACTTTGTGCAGACATATTTAACCCACAAAAATGACTGAGGCCCAACAAAAAACTTCCGGGGGCCCCCAGCACCTCGGGGCCCGGGGCAATTTGCTCCCCCCTGCCCCCCTTGTCGGCGGCCCTGAAATGTGTATATGTTTATATGTGTACGTGTACGTGTATATGACTATATGACTATATGTATATATACATGTATATGTATCATGACTGAACTAACAAATGCTGTTCCTTACTTGACTTTAATAATAGGCCAATTAAAACTGATAGAGCTAGTCAGTATAAATAAAGTTAGTTTAGTTTAGGTTTCCTCCTGTAGTATTATAACTCAAAATACGATTAAAGCTTTTAAATCACGTACACCCCCCTGGTTTACAAAATTTGAGTTCGAGAATTTTTTTCATTATTCTACATTATAAGTACCCAAAGAAGCCATATATATCAAAATCTGGATATCAGTAGCAGTTTTGCGAAATTGAGAGCAATTTCAAATATGTTCAGTTTTTTTTTATACACCCTGTATATTATTTTGGAATAAGTAATAAAGTTAAAAATCATATGATCGATGGCAGGGTTATTCATAGTGTCTTCTTGTATGCATACATACGCACATAGGGAAGGGGGTGGGAAAAAGCGTACTATATATAGCATAGAAAGGGGAGAGGGGTAAAAAATATTCCACAATATAGAATGTTTATAACATTTTAAATGCTATCAAACTTTTGCCCATAATGCAGGAAATGCGATTCCAGGGACTGTAAATTTTAAAATGTTCTCTCTCGTGTCTTAGGCGGGCTGTATTGTTCTGCTACTTAATTAAATAAAATGTGTGAATATGGCCTTATTGTAAATATTCTATCTAGTTTAAATAATTGTTTTCGTTTTTTAATATAGATTCAGCAATGTTGTAAACTGATTGGATTTGAACATTCTTATAATAAACATTCGGAACTTTAGAATTATTATTACGACATTTTTCATCTGCCACTTCTGCTACCCAGAAAAGTGAAGTTGGTAAAACCCCTACCTAAATACTGTTATCCAGTATAAACGTAAAAGGTTGGTGCGGACATACTTGCATATACCCAGATTTTCGCAGAACATTTAGTCTCTCTTAAACTTCCTGATGACAGGTTATATGTGAATGTGTAGTTAATGACATGTTCTCCAACACCAAGCGCTTCTGGTGGTCTGATGTTGGGGATAAGTTGTTCCTTAACTTCCAGGCCATTTTGTGTCGTACATACGGGACATGGTTCTTTCCAGTGCAATACAGATTTCCAGCAATGATCTTCGTATTCAGACTCACAACTACAGTAATCTATAACTGAAGTCATCTGGAATTAGTGAATGTGGATGAATGTTTCCATCGTGCCAATATGGACAAGGTCAATGTTCTTTGGTTTGGAAACTATGTCAAGTGTACGATCACAAAGATGATGGTGATGATGACGAAAATGATAGTGATGATGATTATGGTGATACTGAAGATAATGATGATGACGATGGTGATAATGATGATCTGATGATGATGTGGTAATGATCTGATAATGGTGTTGTGATGATGGCGATGGTAGTGATATTGGTGGTGATGGTGATGATGGTGAGTGTGACGATGATCGTGATAATGATAATGATGATCATGATAATGATGATTGTAGTGATGGTGATGATGGTGTAATCTCGATTACCAGCCGTAATGATGATGATGATGATGGTAATTGTGGTGATGATGATGGTGGTGATAGTGGTGAGCTAAGTGATAGTGATGTAATAAAATAATTTATCAATCAGGAAAACTATAATCGGATCATGGCTTGATTTTGAGAAAGGTTTGGGGAGGTGCGCACGGACTTGCGGTATTATAAATATTTCGCCAACACGTAGCATGCGATTTTCATTAAATACTTCTCAGAACGTGCAATTTCCTATACAATTCGAAGACTCTACATACCGAAACCGCGTGATTATGAAGCTAGCTTAGCTTTCCAATATTAATTGTTAACTAATGTCTTACTGTGTTGGTGATCAACACGTTTTTACCATGTATCGACTGTCTTCGTGGATGTTCGGATTATTCAAATTTAAATACTGTATGTCTGAACAAAGCTACACAACGGAAATTCGGCAAGCGATACTGGATTCCCTGTTACCACAGTAAAATTTGTTATTAAAAAATGAACAAGTGGTAGTCTCACAAGTTTTAATTAATTGAAACATGTCGGTCATGCAAAAAAGCGTTCGAAAACTGCTTATTGGATGGCCAAGATATTTTTTATAGAAATGTTATATATAATAAGTAAATATATAAAATAAAGTACCTTTTTTCCTTTTGCAAATCGAAGAATATAAGTTAGCGCAATTATTATCATTCCACTGATCCTTAACTTCGGCACATTTTTCATTATTCTGGTAGTTATCTGGTTGAGCCGACCGCCACTGCTGAGGATTTGTAAAATCATTGCCATCACTCCAGATCCAGCCTTCCTTTGGATCACTGGTCGTCTTGTTGCGGAATAGCCCAATCCAGAACCTAAAGTTTCCTCCTAGGGCTTTTCTTTGTTTGTTAATAAAATCAACTTCCGCGGAATTAAGAATAGAAACCAAGTCAGCTCCATGTCCCAAGCAGTTAGCTCTGGAGTCTTCCCAGCTCATTTTACGGATTCGTGAAGTTGGTATGACAAAAAGATAGCATGAGTTGCCATATTCTTTCCAGATTTTTGGACAGCCTTGACTTGCTTTGATTTGTTACAAAGAAATGCAGGAATTGCATTTTTAGTTAAAAAAAGATTAATCGATATCGTTATGGAAATTTGGCCCGGGCTTATAACGCTTGATACAAAGATCTTCATGCAGCACACATTTAATACTAGAGAGTTGGAGTAAGACGACAAAGGAGGAAGACATACTTGACAATGTTTGTCCGTCTGTATATTATCTTGCGCATACTGAGTTTTGGGTCCACTGGTCGGCTAGTTGTTAGTTCACGCCTCGCTGTTTATTTATATAGGTACAGGGTGAAGCTAGCGGTCATGATAGTCATGCTGGGCATGACCAAAAATTTTCCCCAAAATATAAAAATATGATTTATATACTTCTTGTCTTGCAAAAAATATACCTTAAAGTTGCGCCGAGTTTACGACACATCGCTTCCATTTACAACGGCACATCGTTTCCATGGCAATTACTTTGAGCTAGCTTCGCCACTATAGTGTGATGTTCCTGTATATTATGCATTTGATCTATCTAATTTAATTTAATATGATTTGAAATCAGTAAAAAAGTACCTGTTTATTTCAATAAAATTATGAAGGGGAGGGGGGTCTAAAATTGTCGATGTGGAATTCAGGGGCGTCTTGAAAATAAGTGTATTGCGCTTGGAGGGGAACTCAAGAAAAAGTACAATGTTGTTGTCTCTCAATCAGTGCCCCCCCCTCCCCCCCTCCATCCCAATATTAATAACCCGTCCCTGACTAGTACATCTAATCAGATATATAAAGATAATATACTTACGACATAATCGAACATTGAAAACAATGGTACATGTTACTTTCATGCCTCCATACAGTTCAAAGGTATTCTTGATTTTATGTCGACCAATTGAGAAATTGCGTGGCGACTTTATGTTTGGTTTAACCTTTTGACGATTAAGCAGATATTTATGCGGGCAAGTGAAGTTAG